CTGGTTTAGTCCTGGTTTAGTCCTGGTTTAGTCCTGGTTTAGTTCTGGTTTAGTCCTGGTTTAGTCCTGGTTTAGTCCTGGTTTAGTTTAGTCCTGGTTTACCTGGTTTAGTCCTGGTTTAGTCCTGGTTTAGTCCTGGTTTAGTCTGGTTTAGTCTGGTTTAGTCCTGGTTAGCCGGCGGTTTCCTGGTTTAGTTCCGGTTTAGCCGGTTTAGTCCTGGTTTAGTTCTGTTTAGTTTAGTCCTGGTTTAGTCCTGGTTTAGTCCTGGTTTGGTTTTTGGTTTAGTCTAGGTTTAGTCCCTGGTTTAGTCCTGGTTTAGTCCCTGGTTTAGTTCCTGGTTTAGTTTAGTCCTGTTTATAGTCCTAGTTTTAGTCCCTGGTTTAGTCTGGTTTAGGTTTAGTTCTGGTTAGTTCCTGGTTTAGTCCTGGTTTAGTCCCTGTTTAGGTCTGGTTTTAGTCCTGGTTTAGTCCTGGTTTAGTCCTGGTTTAGTCCTGGTTTAGTTTCTGGTTTAGTCCTGGTTTAGTCCTGGTTTAGTCCTGGTTTAGTTCTGGTTTAGTTGGTTTAGTTCTGGTTTAGTTCTGGTTTAGTCCTGGTTAGTTCTGGTAGTCTGGGTTTAGTCCTGGTTTTCCTGGTTTAGTCCTTTAGTCCCTGGTTTAGTCCTGGTTTAGTCTGGTTTAGTCCTCTGTTTAGTCCTGGTTTAGTCTGGTTTAGTCTGGTTAGTCCTGGTTTAGGTCCTGGTTTAGTCCTGGTTTAAGTCCTGGTTTAGTCCTGGTTTAGTCCTGGTTTAGTTCTGGTTTAGTCCTGGGTGGTTAGTCCTGGTTTAGTCCCTGGTTTAGTCCTGGTTTAGTTCTGGTTTAGTCCTGGTTTAGTCCTGGTTTAGTCCTGGTTTAGTTTCCTGGTTTAGTCTGGTTTAGTCCTGGTTTAGTTTAGTCCTGGTTTAGTCCTGGTTTAGTCCTGGTTTAGTCCTGGTTTAGTCCTGGTTTATAGTCCTGGTTTACCTGGTTTAGTTCTGGTTTAGTCCTGGTTTAGTCCTAGGTTTAGTCCCTGGTTTAGTCCTGGTTTAGTCCTGTTTTGGTTAGTTCTGGTTTAGTCCTGGTTTAGTCCTGGTTTATCCTGTTTAGTCCTGGTTTAGTCCTAGGTTTAGTTCTGGTTTAGTTTAGTCCTGGTTTAGTTTCTGGTTTAGTTCTGGTTTAGTCCTGGTTTAGTCCAGTTTAGTCCTGGTTTAGTTGTTTTCTGTTTAGTCCTGGTTTAGTCCTGTTTTTCCTGGTTTGTGTCCTGGTTTAGTCTGGTTTAGTCCTGGTTTAGTTTTGGTTTAGTTTATAGTTCTGTTTAGTTCCTGTTTAGTCCTGGTTTAGTCCTGGTTTAGTTCTGGTTTAGTCTGGTTTAGTTCTGGTTTAGTCCTGGTTTAGTTCCTGGTTTAGTTCTGGTTTAGTTCTGTTTAGTCCTGGTTTAGTCCTGGTTTAGTCCTGGTTTAAGTCCTGGTTTAGTAGTCTGGTTTAGTCCTGGTTTAGTCCTGGTTTAGTCCTGGTTTAGTTTTTGGTTTAGTCCTGGTTTAGTAGTCCTGGTTTAGTCCCTGGTTTAGTTCTGGTTTAGTCCTGGTTTTAGTCCTGTTTAGTTTCTGGTTTAGTTCTGGTTTAGTTAGTTCTGGTTTAGTTTAGTCTGGTTTGTTCTGTTTAGTCCTGGTTTAGTTCTGGTTTAGTCCTGGTTTAGTTTTCTGGTTTATTCTGTTTTCTGGTTTAGTTCTGGTTTAGTCCTGGTTTAGTCCTGTTTAGTTCTGGTTTAGTCCTGGTTTAGTCCTGGTTTAGTCCTGGTTTAGTCCTGGTTTAGTTCTGGTTTAGTCCTGGTTTAGTCCTGGTTTAGTCGTGTGATTAGTGATTTTCTCCTGAATCACACAAACTCTGAGCTTTAATCGTCTCTGAGCAGGAACAAACTCAGACCTGGACTCAAACGGCTCGGGAGTTTTTTCTGATGTTTTTTCTGATGTTTTTTCTGATGTTTCTTCTGATGTTTCTTCTGGTGTTTCAGGAGCAGCAGCTGGAGCTCAGAGCCCAACTGTCCCGAGTCCAGAAGAAACTGACCGAAGCTCAGAGCGAGAACATCCGTCTGAAGGAAGACCTCGAGAAGGCCCAGAGCCTCCTCCCAGACCTGAGGAGAAGACTGGAGCAGAGCCTGAAGGACAGAGAGCTGGAGAAGGTACAGCTTCAGACCTGAAGGACAGAGAGCTGGAGAAGATTATGTCTGTACTGAGGAAAGACACGTTCTCCTCAAACACAAGAGAAGAATCAGGTCCTGGTCCTTTAAGGAGATACCTCAGGAGGCTTCTGTGTTGTTCCAGAAAGGACGAGAGCGAGAGAAGCAGCTGGAGAAGGAGCTGAGGGCCCTCAAGATGGAGAAGACTCTACTGCAGCAGGCCTTTGAGAAGGTACCTCCTCCACACCAACTCCTCTGAGCTTCTCATCTGTTCCTCTGACCTTCTGCTCTGACCTTCTGCTCCTCTGACTCCTTCTGACCTTCTGCTCCTCTGAGCTTCTGACCTTCTACTCCTCTGACCTTCTGCTCCTCTGAGCTTCTGACCTTCTGAGCTTCTGAGCTTCTGCTGTGGTCAGGTGGAGCGTGAGAGGGACCAGCTGAAGGACGCTCAGCTGATGTTGGAGCTGGAGGTGCAGCGCAGGAACGGCCTGAAGGAGGCGCTCCTACACCAGAAGCTCTCTGCTCTGAGTCTGGAACTGCAGAAGAACCAGGTCCACAGACCAGAGACCAGAGACCAGAGACCAGAGACCAGACCAGACCAGAGACCAGACCCAGACCAGACCAGACCAGAGACCAGACCAGAGACCAGACCAGACCAGACCAGAGACCAGACCAGACCAGACCAGAGAGACCAGACCAGACCAGAGACCAGACCAGAGACCAGAGACCAGAGAGACCAGAGACCAGACCAGAGACCAGAGACCAGACCAGAGACCAGACCAGAGACCAGACCCAGAGACCAGAGACCAGACCAGACCAGACCAGACCAGACCAGAGACCAGAGACCAGAGACCAGAGACCAGAGACCAGAGACCCAGAGACCAGACCAGACCAGACAGACCAGAGACCAGACCAGAGACCAGACCAGACCAGAGACCAGACCAGAGACCAGACCAGAGACCAGACCAGAGACCAGACCAGAGACCAGACCAGAGACCAGAGACCAGAGACCAGACCAGACCAGACCAGACCAGAGACCAGACCAGAGACCAGACCAGAGACCAGACCAGAGACCAGACCAGACCAGAGACCAGACCAAGACCAGACCAGACCAGAGACCAGAGACCAGATTTCGCTCGGGGTCTGAGGACGGTGAATAAATTTGTCTGAACTCGTTTGTGTTTCTGTGTTTGGTTTCAGGAGACTTTGCTGGACCCAGGACCGAGGTGATCTGAGACCAAGACCAAGACCAAGACCAAGACCGGACCAGAGTCCAGACCAAGACCAGACCACAGTCCAAGTCCCGAGTCCAAGTCCAAAGACATTTTATGATTTTTTTTCTATTTATTTTGGCTGGTGCTTTTATTTTGTGCCTCGTTTGTTTCTGTAAATTTACGTCTGATATTTTTCGTCTCTTCGTCTCTTCGTGTCTTTGTGTTTGTCTCTTCTTCTTCGTTCAAAACGACATTTTCTGCAAAACTGGTTTTGTTTCTTTCTCCCGTCGTTGTTCCTCATCACAAACTGCTCCAGAGTCTCCGAGCTCTGAGGGTCTAGACCAGAACTAGACCTGGACTAGACCAGGACTCTGAGATCTAGAGATCTCTCCTGGGCCTATTCAAACCCCTCTTACAGTTTGCTGCAGTACGAGTCTGTACGAGGCTCCGCCCACACGCTCCACATCACAATCCTCCATAAAAACACAAAAACATAAAACTGAACAGAGCAACTGAACAAACGTGATGTTTGTGCAGGAGTTTCATTAGTGCGACGCTCTGAAGGGGGAGTGGGTCAGCACAGAGAGCAGAGAGACTCAGAGAAACGTGTCAAACCTGTGACTCTGTCGTTTTTGTGAATAAAACATTTTCAGAACAACAAAAAAACACGATTCTGACGCTTTGAATTATTGATGTCACAACAAAACACACACACCTGTGTCCTCTACACACACACCTGTGTCCTCTACACACACCTGTGTCCTCTACACACACACCTGTGTCCTCTACACACACCTGTGTCCTCTACACACACACCTGTGTCCTCTACACACACACCTGTGTCACACACACCTGTGTCCTCTACACACACACCTGTGTCCTCTACACACACACACCTGTGTCCTCTACACACACACACCTGTGTCCTCTACACACACACACCTGTGTCCTCTACAACACACACACACACCTGTGTCCCTACACACACACACCTGTGTCCCCTACACACACACCTGTGTCCCTCTACACACACCTGTGTCCCCTACACACACACCTGTGTCCTCTACACACACACCTGTGTCCTCTACACACACACCTGTGTCCTCTACACACACACCTGTGTCCTCTACACACACACCTGTGTCCTCCTACACACACCTGTGTCCTCTACACACACACTGTGTCCTCTACACACACACCTGTGTCCTCTACACACACACCTGTGTCCTCTACACACACACCTGTGTCCCCTACACACACACCTGTGTCCTCTACACACACACCTGTGTCCTCTACACACACACCTGTGTCCCCTACACACACCTGTGTCCTCTACACACACACACCTGTGTCCTCTACACACACCTGTGTCCTCTACACACACACCTGTGTCCTCTACACACACACACACACACCTGTGTCCTCTACACACACACCTGTGTCCTCTACACACACACCTGTGTCCTCTACACACACACCTGTGTCCTCTACACACACACCTGTGTCCTCTACACACACACACACACACCTGTGTCCCCTACACACACACCTGTGTCCTCTACACACACACCTGTGTCCTCTACACACACACCTGTGTCCTCTACACACACACCTGTGTCCCCTACACACACCTGTGTCCTCTACACACACACCTGTGTCCTCTACACACATGTCCTCTACACACACCTGTGTCCTCTACACACACACCTGTGTCCTCTACACACACCTGTGTCCTCTACACACACACCTGTGTCCTCTACACACACACCTGTGTCCCCTACACACACCTGTGTCCCTACACACACCTGTGTCCTCTACACACACACACCTGTGTCCTCTACACACACACCTGTGTCCTCTACACACACACCTGTGTCCCCTACACACACACCTGTGTCCCCTAACACACACACCTGTGTCCCCTACACACACACCTGTGTCCCTCTACACACACACCTGTGTCCTCTACACACACACCTGTGTCCTCTACACACACACACCTGTGTCCTCTACACACACACCTGTGTCCTCTACACACACACCTGTGTCCCCTACACACACCTGTGTCCTCTACACACACACCTGTGTCCTCTACACACACACCTGTGTCCTCTACACACACACCTGTGTCCCCTACACACACCTGTGTCCTCTACACACACACACCTGTGTCCTCTACACACACACCTGTGTCCTCTACACACACACCTGTGTGTCCTCTACACACACACCTGTGTCCTCTACACACACACCTGTGTCCTCTACACACACACACCTGTGTCCTCTACACACACCTGTGTCCTCTACACACACCCTGTGTCCTCCCTACACACACCTGTGTCCCCTACACACACCCTGTGTCCTCTACACACACACCTGTGTCCTCTACACACACACACCTGTGTCCTCTACACACACCTGTGTCCCCTACACACACAACCTGTGTCCTCTACACACACACCTGTGTCCTCTACACACACACACACCTGTGTCCCTACACACACCTGTGTCCTCTACACACACACCTGTGTCCTCTACACACACACCTGTGTCCCCTACACACACACACCTGTGTCCTCTACACACACCTGTGTCCTCTACACACACACCTGTGTCCTCTACACACACACACCTGTGTCCTCTACACACACACCTGTGTCCCCTACACACACCTGTGTCCTCTACACACACACACCTGTGTCCTCTACACACACCTGTGTCCTCTACACACACACCTGTGTCCTCTACACACACACACCTGTGTCCTCTACACACACCTGTGTCCTCTACACACACACACCTGTGTCCTCTACACACACACCTGTGTCCTCTACACACACACCTGTGTCCTCTACACACACACCTGTGTCCCCTACACACACACCTGTGTCCTCTACACACACACACACACCTGTGTCCTCTACACACACCTGTGTCCTCTACACACACACCTGTGTCCCTACACACCCTGTGTCCTCTACACACACACACCTGTGTCCTCTACACACACACACCTGTGTCCTCTACACACACCTGTGTCCCCTACACACACCTGTGTCCTCTACACACACACACCTGTGTCCTCTACACACACCTGTGTCCTCTACACACACCTGTGTCCTCTACACACACACCTGTGTCCTCTACACACACACACCTGTGTCCTCTACACACACCTGTGTCCTCTACACACACCTGTGTCCTCTACACACACACCTGTGTCCTCTACACACACCTGTGTCCTCTACACACACCTGTGTCCCTACACACACCTGTGTCCTCTACACACACCTGTGTCCTCTACACACACACCTGTGTCCTCTACACACACCTGTGTCCTCTACACACACCTGTGTCCCCTACACACACACCTGTGTCCTCTACACACACCTGTGTCCTCTACACACACACCTGTGTCCTCTACACACACCTGTGTCCTCTACACACACCTGTGTCCTCTACACACACACCTGTGTCCTCTACACACACCTGTGTCCCCTACACACACCTGTGTCCTCTACACACACACACACACCTGTGTCCTCTACACACACCTGTGTCCTCTACACACACCTGTGTCCTCTACACACACACCTGTGTCCTCTACACACACACCTGTGTCCTCTACACACACCTGTGTCCTCTACACACCACCTGTGTCCTCTACACACACACACCTGTGTCCTCTACACACACCTGTGTCCTCTACACACACCTGTGTCCTCTACACACACCTGTGTCCTCTACACACACCTGTGTCCCTACACACACCTGTGTCCCCTACACACACCTGTGTCCTCTACACACACCTGTGTCCTCTACACACACCTGTGTCCTCTACACACACCTGTGTCTCTACACACAACCTGTGTCCCTACACACACCTGTGTCCTCTACACACACCTGTGTCCTCTACACACACACCTGTGTCCTCTACACACACCTGTGTCCTCTACACACACCTGTGTCCTCTACACACTTGTGTGATCTGTGTTGTTTGTCTAAAAGAAGAAACTGTTTCAGGTTGAAAATCCTGCCGAACGTTTCTGTTTCTCCCTGAAAAAACAAACAACAAAACAACAACAAACAAAACGCCGACGTTCAGAAGCTTTAACTCTGTTTTACGTCACAACTTTGAATGTGAAGTTTTATTTGTGACTCGACTTTTGAGATTCATCAAAGTTGAATTTATTGTCAAATATTTTCATCAGTTTTAGTTTCACAGCGTCCGGACGATAAATGGACTTGGATATTTTATATTCACATTATTGTTTTACACAGTTGGGAACAGGACCTGCTCTTTCTGTTCGACTCTTCTTACTCTTTTATTTATTGTTACTGATTTTTTTTAAAACAAATCCAAACTGATGATCCACAAACGGACACTTCAAACAAACTCCAGGTGAGTTTGTCCTCAGGCTCCAGACCAAAATGTTTATGGATTTTAAAAACGTTAAATCAGACGAACAAAACCGACTGAGACGATGTTTTTACTTTAGTGAAAAAAAGAAGCCGTTTCATTTTCCTCTTTTCTCTGCAGTTCATGTTCTTCACCACCAGGAGGCGCCAACACCAACAGAGTCGACAGGTGCACTCCAGTATGAGACGCCTGGAGGTCCCTGTCGCCAGCCCCTGTCACCAGCCCCTGTCGCCAGCCCCTGTCACCAGCCCCTGTCACCAGCCCCTGTCACAAGTCCCTGTCACCAGCCCCTGTCACCAGCCCCTGTCGCCAGCCCCTGTCCCTGTCCCTGCCAGCCCCTGTCACCAGCCCCTGTCACCAGCCATGTGCCCTGTCCCTGTCACAAGTCCCTGTCACCAGTCCCTGTCACCAGTCCCTGTCACACCAGCCCCTGTCACCAGCCCCTGTCGCCAGCCCCTGTCGCCAGCCCCTGTCACCAGCCCTGTCACCAGCCCCTGTCACCAGCCCCTGTCACCAGCCCCTGTCACCAGCCCCTGTCACAAGTCCCTGTCACCAGCCCCTGTCGCCGGTCCCTGTCGCTGGCCCCTGTCGCTGGGTCCTGGTCGAGTCCCAGAGTTTTTCATACAAACCCTTCACAATAAAAGCACAGCTCACAGTTTGTTCACTTTTATTTTGTAAAAAACATATTTACAGCTTTTATTCTGAAATCAAACCTGCAAAAGAAAAGTTCAACTGAAATCAGAGCTGCTCCCCAGACTCTGCTCCACAGATCTGGACCTGACCTGTTTCACTCCGTTTGGGTCTATCCGGTCCCGTTCGGGTCTCTTTGGGTCTATCCGGTCCCGTTCGGGTCTCTTTGGGTCTATCCGGTCCCGTTCGGGTCTCTTTGGGTCTATCCGTTCGGGTCTCTTTGGGTCTATCCGGTCGTTCGGTCGGTCTCTTTGGGTCTATCCGGTCCGTTCGGGTCTCTTTGGGTCTATCCGGTCCCGTTCGGGTCTCTTTGGGTCTATCCGGTCCCGTTCGGGTCTCTTTGGGTCTATCCGGTCCCGTGGCTGCTCGACTCGAAGACGCCTTTCTTGAAGAACGAGGAGAACTCATAAACGTGGAGTTTGTTCAGAGGTTCTGAGTCGGGTCTGAGCGGAGACGGAGACCAGGACCGGACCAGAGCAAACAGGTCCCTCAGGTACCGCTGTGGACAGAGAGACCGGGGTTAGACCAGGGTTTAAACCAGGACTAGACCAGGACTAGACCAGGACTAGACCAGGACTAGACCAGAGTGAAGCTCAGACCTGGAGCTGGAGGCGACGTTCTGAAACCATCTTCTCGTCTTTATTTCGGAAAAGTTTCTTTGGAGGAAAATCCAGACTCGCCACCTGCAGGACGACAGAGGAACCACAGGCATCAGGACATGTACACACGTGTGTCAGGGGCCCTTCTGTGTGTGTCAGGGGCCCTCCCCATGTGTGTCAGGTCTGTGTGTATGAGCGTGAGTGCAGGTCCGGTTGCGGGGGTGGGTCTGGTTGTGTTTGTGGGTCCGGTTGCGGGGGTGGGTGCGGTTGTGTTTGTGGGTCTGGTTGTGTTTGTGGGTCGGTTGTGGTTTGTGGGTGGTGGCCGGTTGCGGGGGTGGGTGCGGTTGCGGGTCTGACCTGGGGGAATCGCACTCGCAGGTTCTGGTGCATTTCTCTGAAGCGACTGTATCTGCGAAAAACACTCCAGGTCTCCTCCCCCAAACACAACTGCAACAAGAGACCGGGTCAGAACCAGGACCAGACCAGGACCAGACCAGGACCAGGACCAGACCAGGACCAGACCAGGACCAGGACCAGAGAACAGGAGGAGACAAGAGAAAAAAATGAAAATTTTGGAATCTTTTTTTTTTTTTAATCACAAAAAAGTTACTCACAAAATTAATAAAAAATTATGAAATGATAAAAATGCCATAAAAATGGGCAACGAGAGAAAAATACAGAAAAAAAAATAAATAAATACAAAAATACAAAAACAGAAATGATGGGAAAAAAAATGAAAAATTATGGGAGGAGACGAGAGACAGGAGCAGACAGGTGCTGACAGGTGCAGGCAGGTGCAGGCCGGAGCAGACAGGTGCAGACAGGTGCAGACAGGTGCAGACAGGCAGACAGGTGCAGACAGGTGCAGACAGGAGTAGACAGGTGCAGGCAGGTGCAGACAGGTGCAGACAGGAGACACTGACCTTCACTTCAAACTCAAAGTGTTCGTCTTTTCCTTGTCCTCGAAGAACGAAGCGCGGAACAGAAACACTGAGCGAATCCCCCGAGACGTCAGCGCCGCACGTCCACGAACGACCAATCAGACGCTAGAGACACACAGAGAGCCAATCAGACGCTAGAGACACACAGAGAGCCAATCTAGAGACAGAGAGCCAATCAGACGCTAGAGACACACAGAGAGCCAATCAGACGCTAGAGACACACAGAGAGCCAATCAGACGCTAGAGACACACAGAGAGAGCCAATCAGACGCTAGAGACACACAGAGAGCCAATCAGACGCTAGAGACACACAGAGAGCCAATCAGACGCTAGAGACACACACAGAGAGCCAATCAGACGCTAGAGACACACAGAGAGCCAATCAGATGCTAGAGTGATGTCACAGTGATGTCACAGTGTGGGTCTGTGGTTCCAGTGAGACTCTGTGTCTGAGTCGGGACTTGAACCTTTGACCTTCTGGTTTGAAGGTTCATGTTGTGTTGAAGTTAAACCTGAGGCCCTGGACTTTATCTACACTCTGTACTTTTACTTTTACTTTTACTTTTACTCAGAGCAGGTATTTGTACTTTCTGCTCCACTAGAACTTTTAGAACAGAAACGTAAAAAGTTTTTGTCTTTACAGTTTGAGAATCTCTGAAAATAGAACTTAGATTTATTTTTAGCAAATTTGACTGAAGTCAAAACTTTGAACAACATAAAAACAATAAAACACAAAAAAACAATAAAACACAAAAAAAAAAACAAATACAAAAACAATAAAACACACACAAAAAAACCCAATAAAACACAAAAAACAAAAAAACAAAAAAAAAACAATAAAACACAAAAAACAATAAAACACAAAAATACAAAAACAATAAAACACAAAAAAAAAAAAAAAAAAAACACAAAAACAATAAAACACAAAAACACAAATCTGTGGAGTCACTTTTTTCTGGTGAATTTTCCCAAACTCAGAGTTTGATCCAAACAGTCGTTGGTTTTTGTTTTTGTTTTTGATCCACAAATGTAAATTTAATATTTGTCACTTGTATTTTGGTTTTTACAAATGAATGTTGTTTGTGAATTTATAATTTTTCATTTGCAAAAAATAAATAAATAAATAAAATAACACTGGTAAAACTGAAAATATTTTAGAGATTTTCTTTGAGACAAATCCACAAACCCAGACGCACAAACAGGTCCAAGTCCAAGTCTAAGTCCACGTCTGGTCCTGGTCCTGGTCCTGGTCCTGGTCGAGTTCTGGGTGAGACCAGTCTCCAGGTCGGGTCCAAAAACAGGAACAAAACAAAACCAAAAAAATAAATAAATAAATACAAAAATCAGACCAAACGTTTTTCACCTGAGGATCCAGATTTATTTTTTTATTTTTCATTTTTCAAACTTTCACAGATTCATGAACTTTTCTTAAAGACCAGGAGGTTTTTTCTCTGTTGGTTTTTCTCCGTCACGTCACATCTTCAGATTTCCATGTTCCGTTTGTTGTTTTGAAAATGTTTTATTCACCAAAAACTTTCATCTCTCTGCTCCCTGTGCTGAGGTGCTCCCCCTTCAGAGCGTCGCACTGATGAAACTTCTGCACCAACATCACGTTTGTCCAGTCGCCGTGTTCAGAGTCGTGTGGGGGCGGAGCCTCGTACAGACTCGTACTGTGGGAGCGTGTGGGCGGAGCCTCGTACTGTGGGAGCGTGTGGGCGGAGCCTCATACAGACTCGTACTGTGGGGGCGGAGCCTCGTACAGACTCGTACTGTGGGAGCATGTGGGCGGAGCCTCGTACAGACTCGTACTGGGGGGGGCGGAGCCTCGTACAGACTCGTACTGTGGGAGCGTGTGGGCGGAGCCTCGTACAGACTCGTACTGGGGGGGCGGAGCCTCGTACAGACTCGTACTGTGGGAGCGTGTGGGCGGAGCCTCGTACAGACTCGTACTGGGGGGGCGGAGCCTCGTACAGACTCGTACTGTGGGAGCGTGTGGGCGGAGCCTCGTACAGACTCGTACTGTGGGAGCGTGTGGGCGGAGCCTCGTACAGACCATAAGGAGGGTTTGAGTAGAGCCCAGGAGAGATCTCTAGATTACATAAAAAGCTCAAAAAAGTCAGAATAAATCATCTTAAATATTTCACAGCGACGCTGAAAATTAAAATCTGATTTGAAGCGTCACATTTTGGATTTTCACATAAACGAGACGATCAGATTTATCAGAGTCAAATTTAAGAAAAAACACGGTTCAGATTCTTCAGCTTCAACTGTTGAACCGAGTCCAGACCCTGGTCCAGGCCCAGATCCAGACTCTGCCCTGGTCTTGGTCCTAATCCGGTTAGGGTCCGGCTCAAATCTTTTTCAGATAGTCCCGATCTTGGTCCTGGTCTTAGTGCTGGTCTTAGTCCTGGTCTTAGTCCCGGTCTTGGTCCCGGTCTTAGTCCTTAGTCCCGGTCTTAGTCCCGGTCTTGGTCCCGGTCTTAGTCCTGGTTTAGTTCAAGTTAAATCACTTGTTCGTCCCTTGGTCCTCGTGAACCTCTGAGGTCTTGTTCCTGGTTTAGTTCTGGTCCTGGTTTTCGGTCCTGATCTGGTCCTTGGCCCTGATCAGGTTGGTTCCAGTTTTAGTCCCAGCCTTGGTCCCGGTCCCGGTCCAGGTCCGGTTCAGGTCCACAGCTGCTTGAGGACCAGTGCTGCGTCAGAGCTGTCTCCAAACCTGATGGTCCAGATGGAGTCCTTCAGCTCAGGCTCCTCCAAAGACCCAAAGTTCTCCTCAGACCTGAAGTTCTCCTCAGACCTGAAGTTCTCCTCAGACCTCCTGAAGTTCCTCTGACCTCCTGCGTTCCTCTGGGTTCCTCCTGCGTTCCTCTGGGTTCCTCCTGCGTTCCTCTGGGTTCCTCCTGATTCTTCTCCTGGAGTGAAAGATCATCTCCAGCTCCACACAGCCGTCAACGCTCCTCGCAAACACGCGCCGCACCTCCCCCCGACCTCGGACCTTCAGAGAACTGAAACCAGACCCGAGAACAGACCCCGGGCCGTGGTCCCTGAGGAGGCAGACGTGAGTGTCCGTGAGGAGGAGCCGCGTGGTCAGCGAGTGTTCGGGCTCGGACCGGAGCAGGACGCTGGTGAAGACCACGGGCCGGACGAGGGCCAGAGGAGGACGATCCGGACCCTCCATGTTCCCGTGGACCAGGTACAGAAGATCTGCCAGGACTCGCCCGAACCGGGACCTGAACCGGAGCCCGTTTGAGAGCACGAGGTCCGAGACCGAGGAGGTCCAGTCCAGAGAGAGGGACATGAGGTCTGCGGACAACAGCGGGTGAAGACCAGGGACCGGACCAGGGACCGGACCAGGGACCGGACCAGGGACCGGACCAGGGACCGGACCAGGGACCGGACCAGAGACCGGACCAGGGACCGGACCAGGGACCGGACCAGGGACCGGACCAGGACCGGACCAGGAGACCGGACCAGAGACCGGACCAGAGACCGGACCAGGGACCGGACCAGGGACCGGACCAGAGACCGGACCAGGAGACCGGACCAGGGACCGGACCAGGGACCGGACCAGGGACCGGACCAGGGACCGGACCTGAGACTGGACCTAGACGTTGTTTGTCATTTTCCTCGAGTGATTTTGCGTCGCAGTTTTCCCCACAAATCTTTTTTTCCCAAATCTGCTCCTTTTCCCAAATCTCTGAAATTTCACTTTCTTCCACATTTCGTCTAAAAAAATTCACATTTTCTGTTAAAACTTCATTTAAAACTTCCTCGTTTTGATCCTGAAACTTTTCTTTGGATTCAGAAATGGACAGATTTGGTCCAATTCCGAAACTCTGAGCTCGGACGATTTCCCGGCAAAACTTCTGAGTGAGACGCGCACTGAGGGTCAAGACGGCCACGCCCCCTCCACACCTGTCCCCGCCCTCTCCACACCTGTCCCCGCCCCCTTCACCTTTCCGCTCTACTCTCACGCTCTGCCCGCCCAAACCCACCCGGACCTCCTCCACTTCGCTCCAGCCCAATCGCCACTCGACCCTAAGCCCCGCCTCCTCCTCCCGACAGCCAATCACGGCGAGCCCTCCCGCGCACACCGCCACGCCCGCCGCCGTCGGAATCGGCCGCGTTTCAGTCGCCGTCGCCGCAAAGAAAACACTCAAGACCGTCCCGAGGTTCACGTCCGGGAGTTTGGCTGAAATCTCCTCGTTTTGGAGCAGCGTCAAATAGGACAAAGGCGTCGGAAATTCCACGAACTTCTGCTGGAAAACCCGGAGATCGGCGTCCTCGGAGCAGACGACCGACCCGAGCGGCCACCCGTCCACTCCCGCCGTTTCACCGCCCGCAAAATCGCACCAAACCTCACAATCCCTCTGCGCTTTCATCGATTCGTTCGAGCGTTCTTCGTCGTCTTCTGAATCCTCTTTGAGTTCTCCGTCCCGTGGAGCGAACGCCGCCGTGATTTTCCGCGCGACCGGGAGCTGGCGGGTAAATCTGGACACGTACTCGGACACCGCGCCGCTCACGACGTCCATCGGCGCGTTCTGCAGGACCTCACGAGTTTCCTGGAGTTTGCGGTTCGCGTCTTCGTAAACGTGCGTCAGTTTTTCGGCGAAGAACCCAAAAACGATCCCGGACGTCGTAGCGTTTTTCTCCCGCTGGGTCGGACCGACGTAGGAGCTCAGGTAAGAGTTGAGCGACTGCACCACGGAGGAGCCCAGCGCGGAAACGTCGTCCGAAAACCGACGCTTGGTCCATTTCGCTGCGCCCGACTCCTTGGTTTCTTCTGACTTGTTGAAATTTAAACTTTTGTCACAAACGTCGGCCTCGTTTTGCGCCGCTGAACTTCTTTCTGTGGTTTTTGGTTCGTTTTGGTCCGAGTCCGGCTCCGGTTCCCGGTCTGGGTTTTCCGGCGGTTCCCACGGAGACGAGATGTTTTTCTGTGAGTGAGAAGACGGAGCGGTTCTCATCAAAATAAAAGTCCGGAGCCCGAGAATCACCAGGTGAGGATTTCAGATTAAGAGCGCAGCATGCAGATCACAGCAGGCAGTGGTTTTATTGTGAAAGGTGAAGAACGGACCCGATTTAGACCCGGTTTAGACCCGATTTAGACCCGGTTTAGTCCTGGTTTAGTCCTGGTTTAGTCCTGGTTTAGTCCTGGTTTAGTCCAGGTTTAGTCCAGGTTTAGTCCTGGTTTAGTCCAGGTTTAGTCCTGGTTTAGTCCTGGTTTAGTCCTGGTTTAGTCCTGGTTTAGACCCTGGTTTAGTCCTGGTTTAGTCCTGGTCTAGTCCTGGTTTAGGCCTGGTTTAGTCCTGGTTTGGACCTGGTTTAGTCCAGGTTTAGCCCTGGTTTAGACCTGGTTTAGACCCGATTTAGACCCGGTTTAGTCCTGGTTTAGTTCTGGTTTAGTCTTGGTTTAGTCCTGGTTTAGGCCTGGTTTAGGCCTGGTTTAGTCCTGGTTTAGTCTGGGTTTAGACCTGGTTTAGTCCTGGTTTAGTTCTGGTTTAGTCCTGGTTTAGTTCTGGTTTAGTCCTGGTTTAGTTCTGGTTTAGACCTGGTTTAGTCCAGGTTTAGACCTGGTTTAGTCCAGGTTCAGACCTGGTTTAGTCCTGGTTTAGTCCTGGTTTAGACCAGTTTAGTCCTGGTTTAGTCCTGGTTTAGTTCTGGTTTAGTCCTGGTTTAGTCCTGGTTTAGTCCTGGTTTAGACCTGGTTTAGTTCTGGTTTAGTCCTGGTTTAGTTCTGGTTTAGTCCTGGTTTAGTCCTGGTTTAGTTACCTGGTTTAGTCTGGTTTAGTCCTGGTTTAGTCCTGGTTTAGTCCTGGTTTAGTCCTGGTTTAGTCCTGGTTTAGTCCTGGTTTAGTTCTGGTTTAGTCCTGGTTTAGTTCCTGGTTTAGTCCTGGTTTAGCCTGGTTTAGTCCTGGTTTAGTCCTGGTTTAGTTCTGGTTTAGTCCTGGTTTAGTCCTGGTTTAGTCCTGGTTTAGTCCTGGTTTAGTCCAGGTTTAGTCCTGGTTTAGTCCTGGTTTAGTTCTGGTTTAGTCCTGGTTTAGTTCCTGGTTTAGTCCTGGTTTAGTCCTGGTTTAGTCCTGGTTTAGTCCTGGTTAGTCCTGGTTTAGTCCTGGTTTAGTCCTGGTTTAGTCCTGGTTTAGTCCTGGTTTAGTCCTGGTTTAGTCCTGGTTTAGTCTGGTTTAGTCCTGGTTTAGTCCTGGTTTTCCTTTAGTCCTGGTTTAGTCCTGGTTTAGTCTGGTTTAGTCCTGGTGGTTTAGTTCTGGTTTAGTCCTGGTTTAGTTTAGTCCTGGTCCTGGTTTAGTCCTGGTTTAGTCCTGGTTTAGTTCTGGTTTAGGTTCTGGTTTAGTCTGGTTTAGTTCTGGTTTAGTCCTGGTTTAGTCCTGGTTTAGTCCTGGTTTAGTCCTGGTTTAGTCCTGGTTTAGTCCTGGTTTAGTCCTGGTTTAGTCCTGGTTTAGTCCTGGTTTAGTCCTGGTTTAGTCCTGGTTAGTCCTGGTTTAGTGTTTAGTCCTGGTTTAGTCCTGGTTTAGTCCTGGTTTAGTCCTGGTTTAGTCCTGGTTTAGTTTAGGCCTGGTTTAGTCCTGGTTTAGTCTGGTTTAGTTTCCTGGTTTAGTCCTGGTTTAGTTCTGGTTTAGTCCTGGTTTAGTTCTGGTTTAGTCCTGGTTTAGTCCTGGTTTAGTCCTGGTTTAGTCCTGGTTTCCTGGTTTAGTCCTGGTTCCTGGTTTAGTCCTGGTTTCCTGGTTTAGTCCTGGTTTAGTCCTGGTTTAGTTTAGTCCTGGTTTAGTCCTGGTTTAGTCCTGGTTTAGTCCTGGTTTAGTCCTGGTTTAGTCCTGGTTTAGTTCTGGTTTAGTCCTGGTTTAGTTCTGGTTTAGTCCTGGTTTAGTCCTGGTTTAGTCCTGGTTTAGTTCTGGTTTAGTCCTGGTTTAGTCTGGTTTAGTCTGGTTTAGTCCTGGTTTAGTCCTGGTTTAGTCCTGGTTTAGTCCTGGTTTATCCTGGTTAGTCCTGGTTTAGTCCTGGTTAGTCCTGGTTTAGTCCTGGTTTAGTTCTGGTTTAGTCCTGGTTTAGTCCTGGTTTAGTTCTGGTTTAGTTTCCTGGTTTAGTCCTGTTTAGTCCTTTAGTCCTGGTTTAGTCTGGTTTAGTCCTGGTTTAGTCCTGGTTTAGTCCTGGTTTAGTCTGGTTTAGTCCTGGTTTAGTCCTGGTTTAGTCCTGGTTTAGTCCTGTTTAGTCCTGGTTTAGTCCTGGTTTTAGTTCTGGTTTAGTCCTGGTTTAAGTCCTGGTTAGTCCTGGTTTAGTCCTGTTTAGTGGTTTAGTCCTGGTTTAGTTCTGGTTTAGTGGTTTAGTCCTGGTTTAGTCCTGGTTTAGTTCTGGTTTAGTCCTGGTTTAGTCCTGGTTTAGTTCCTGGTTTAGTCCTGGTTTAGTCCTGGTTTTAGTCCTGGTTTAGTCCTGGTTTAGTTCTGGTTTAGTCCTGGTTTAGTCCTGGTTTAGTCCTGGTTTAGTCCTGGTTTAGTCCTGGTTCTTGTACCTCGTACTTGAGTCGTCTGTTCACCAGCCGCGTCTCCCCCTGAAACAAAACACAGACGCGACTCGTAACACAAAACATGAACCACGAGTTTAAACGTGAGAAAACAGAGTTTAGAGTTTAAACGTGAGAACACACAGAGTTTAGAGTTTAAACGTGAGAAAACAGAGTTTAGAGTTTAAACGTGAGAAACACAGCAGAGTTTAGAGTTTAAACGTGAGAAAACAGAGTTTAGAGTTTAAACGTGAGAAAACACAGAGTTTAGAGTTTAAAACGTGAGAAAAACACAGAGTTTAGAGTTTTAAACGTGAGAAAACACAGAGTTTAGAGTTTAAACGTGAGAAAACAGAGTTTAGAGTTTAAACGTGAGAAAACACAGAGTTTAGAGTTTAAACGTGAGAACACACAGAGTTTAGAGTTTAAACGTGAGAACACACAGAGTTTAGAGTTTAAACGTGAGAAAACACAGAGTTTAGAGTTTAAACGTGAGAATACACAGAGTTTAGAGTTTAAACGTGAGAAAACACAGAGTTTAGAGTTTAAACGTGAGAAACACAGAGTTTAGAGTTTAAACGTGAGAAACACAGAGTTTAGAGTTTAAACGTGAGAAAACACACAGAGTTTAGAGTTTAAACGTGAGAAAACACAGAGTTTAGAGTTTAAACATGAGAATACACAGAGTTTAGAGTTTAAACGTGAGAAAACACAGAGTTTAGAGTTTAAACGTGAGAAGAAAACACAGAGTTTAGAGTTTTAAACGTGAGAAACACACAGAGTTTAGAGTTTTAAACGTGAGAACACACAGAGTTTAGAGTTTAAACGTGAGAAACACAGAGTTTAGAGTTTAAACGTGAGAATACACAGAGTTTAGAGTTTAACGTGAGAATACACACAGAGTTTAGAGTTTAAACGTGAGAACACACAGAGTTTAGAGTTTAAACGTGAGAAAACACAGAGTTTAGAGTTTAAACGTGAGAAAAACAGAGTTTAGAGTTTAAACGTGAGAACACACAGAGTTTAGAGTTTAAACGTGAGAAAACACAGAGTTTAGAGTTTAAACGTGAGAAAACACAGAGTTTAGAGTTTAAACGTGAGAACACACAGAGTTTAGAGTTTAAACGTGAGAAAACACAGAGTTTAGAGTTTAAACGTGAGAAAACAGAGTTTAGAGTTTAAACGTGAGAACACACAGAGTTTAGAGTTTAAACGTGAGAATACACAGAGTTTAGAGTTTAAACATGAGAACACACAGAGTTTAGAGTTTAAACGTGAGAATACACAGAGTTTAGAGTTTAAACGTGAGAACACATAGAGTTTAGAGTTTAAACGTGAGAATACACAGAGTTTAGAGTTTAAACGTGAGAACACACAGAGTTTAGAGTTTAAACGTGAGAAAACACAGAGTTTAGAGTTTAAACGTGAGAACACAGAGTTTAGAGTTTAAACGTGAGAACACACAGAGTTTAGAGTTTAAACGTGAGAACACACAGAGTTTAGAGTTTAAACGTGAGAAAACACAGAGTTTAGAGTTTAAACGTGAGAATACACGCAGAGTTTAGAGTTTAAACGTGAGAATACACAGAGTTTAGAGTTTAAACGTGAGAACACACAGAGTTTAGAGTTTAAACGTGAGAATACACAGAGTTTAGAGTTTAATCGTGAGAACACGCAGAGTTTAGAGTTTAAACGTGAGAATACGCAGAGTTTAGAGTTTAAACGTGAGAACACGCAGAGTTTAGAGTTTAAACATGAGAACACACAGAGTTTAGAGTTTAAACGTGAGAAAACACAGAGTTTAAACGTGAGAATACACAGAGTTTAGAGTTTAAACGTGAGAACACATAGAGTTTAGAGTTTAAACATGAGAATACAGAGAGTTTAGAGTTTAAATCGTGAGAATACACAGAGTTTAGAGTTTAAACGTGAGAATACACAGAGTTTAAACGTGGGAACACACAGAGTTTAGAGTTTAAACGTGAGAAAACACAGAGTTTAAACGTGAGAATACACAGAGTTTAGAGTTTAAAAGTGAGAATACACAGAGTTTAGAGTTTAAACGTGAGAACACATAGAGTTTAGAGTTTAAACATGAGAATACAGAGAGTTTAGAGTTTAAACGTGAGAATACACAGAGTTTAGAGTTTAAACGTGAGAATACACAGAGTTTAAACGTGGGAATACACAGAGTTTAGAGTTTAAACGTGAGAAAACACAGAGTTTAAATGTGAGAACACACAGAGTTTAGAGTTTAAACGTGAGAAAACACAGAGTTTAATGGTGAGAATACAGAGAGTTTAGAGTTTAAACGTGAGAATACACAGAGTTTAGAGTTTAAATGTGAGAAAACACAGAGTTTAATGGTGAGAATACAGAGAGTTTAGAGTTTAAACGTGAGAATACACAGAGTTTAGAGTTTAAACGTGAGAATACACAGAGTTTAGAGTTTAAACGTGAGAACACACAGAGAGTTTAGAGTTTAAACGTGAGAATACACAGAGTTTAGAGTTTAAACGTGAGAACACACAGAGTTTAGAGTTTAAACGTGAGAACACAGAGTTTAAACGTGAGAATACACAGAGTTTAGAGTTTAAACTGACTGTATTATCATGTTTAGAGTTTAAACGTGAGAAAACACAGAGTTTAGAGTTTAAACGTGAGAACACATAGAGTTTAGAGTTTAAACATGAGAATACAGAGATTTTAGAGTTTAAACGTGAGAATACACAGAGTTTAGAGTTTAAACGTGAGAATACACAGAGTTTAGAGTTTAAACGTGAGAATACACAGAGTTTAGAGTTTAAACAGTTTGACATGAGAATACAGAGAGTTTTAGAGTTTAAACGTGAGAATACAGAGAGTTTAGAGTTTAAGCGTGAGAATACACAGAGTTTAGAGTTTAAACGTGAGAATACAGACAGTTTAGAGTTTAAACGTGAGAATACAGAGAGTTTAGAGTTTAAACGCGAGAATACAGACAGTTTAGAGTTTAAACGTGAGAATACACAGAGTTTAGAGTTTAAACGCGAGAATACAGACAGTTTAGAGTTTAGAGTTTGAGGGAGGAGACAGACCTGGAGGGAGGAGGACAGGTCGTTGTCGGTGTTGAGGTTGATCTTCTGCAGACGTCGTTGGACTTCCTCTTCGATCAGAGCGCTGATCCTGGAAAATGGAACAAAAATTTCACTTCAGAAACTTCAAAAAAACATCAAATCCACCGTTTTTTCCACCGATCATCTGACGCGGGGTGGTACCTGTGGTCGCTGAGGGGGGGCAGGGGGCTCAGGTCTTGGACTGGACTCACGGAGGAGGATCTGGTCCGATCTTCGCTGAGACTCTGTCTGAGGCTCTGCAGCTCCCGCTCCACCCTGAGGAACACACAACATCTGAACATCTGGACCAAACCCTGAGGAACACACAACATCTGAACATCTGGACCAAACCCTGAGGAACACACAACATCTGAACATCTAAACCAAACCCTGAGGAACAACATCCTGAACATCTGGACCAAACCCTGAGGAACACACAACATCTGAACATCTGGACCAAACCCTGAGGAACACACAACATCTGAACATCTGGACCAAACCCTGAGGAACACAACATCTGAACATCAACCAAACCCTGAGGAACACACAACATCTGAACATCTGGACCAAACCCTGAGGAACACAACATCTGAACATCTCCTGAGGAACACAACATCTGAACCAAACCCTGAGGAGGACAACACACAACAAACACACACACCATCTGGAACACAACAACATCTGAACATCTGGACCAAACCCTGAGGAACACACAACATCTGAACATCTGGACCAAACCCTGAGGAAACACACAACATCTGAACATCTGGACCAAACCCTGAGGAACACACAACATCTGAACATGTGGACCACACCCTGAGGAGGAACACACAACATCTGAACACAACATCTAAACCAAACCCTGAGGAGGAACACACAACATCTCAACATCTGGACCAAACCCTGAGGAACACACAACATCTGAACATCTGGACCAAACCCTGAGGAACACACAACATCTGAACATCTGGACCAAACCCTGAGGAACACACAACATCTGAACATCTGGACCACAACCTGAGGAAACACACAACATCTGAACATCTGGACAAACCCAACACCCTGAAAGGAACACACACAACATCTGAACATCTGGACCACAACCCTGAGGAACACACAACATCTGAACATCTGGACCAAACCCTGAGGAACACACAACATCTGAACATCTGGACCACAACCTGAGGAACACACACAACATCTGAACATCTGGACCACACCCTGAGGAACACACAACATCTGAACATCTGGACCACAACCCTGAGGAACACACAACATCTGAACATCTGGACCACACCCTGAGGAACACACAACATCTGAACATGTGTTTGTTGCAGTAGAACCAGGACCTCTTAGATGTTTCTCCTCCTCTGTGCTCTGTACCTGTCTCTGTCTCCTCTCTTCTTCTTCAGAGCGCTGTATCTCCTCTCCACTCGCTCCAGCGCGTTCTGCAGATCTTCTCTCAGATCTTTCTCCTTGGACTCCAGGATTTGTCGCTCCTTGCTCCGGACCTTCTCCTGCTGCCGTGACACGTTGGTGGTGAACTCGTAGGTCTCCTGAAGCTGCTGCAGCTGCTGTGAGGTGGACTCCAGCGACGTGAGAAGGTCCGAGTGCTCCTCCAGCTCCTTCTCCACCTGAAACCACACGAGAAGGTCTGAGGGTGAAGCGCTAACTGTCGGCACTGCTCTGTTTGAGGCTTTGTTCACTTTAAAGGTCACGACTTTCTCATCGCACACGTTTTGTCTCGTGGGCAAAAAAGTTCTAAAATTTGACTGAAGGTCTGGACCAGGAGCAGATGATGAAGAGAAAAAAATAACATGAGATCTGTAGAAAACCTGAGCTTGAATTTAAATTGAAAGTTTCTACTAAACATCACAACAAAATATGTGTCTTTCTAAATCACTGAAAACTAAATTAATAAAATACTTGTTTTTATTATTATTACAAACAGTTTCTATGTTAAAGCAGTGAAGGTTGTGTTCTCCTCCAGGATCTTCTCATCATCTCTCTCCTCCTGACTCTTTATTTCAAAAACAGTAGAACAGAAGTGTCAAACTCATTTTGTTCCGGGGGTCGAGTCCAAAGTGTCCGGATCAGAAAACTCATGTCATATAAACCCCAAAAATAACAAGAAGTTCAAATATTTGTGCAGAGAAACACAAATCTATTACACAAATCTTTTTTAATTGATGAACTCTTTCTTTTACAAAATATTGTAATATTATGAACAACCTGAAACTTTAAGAAAAATACAATTTCAACATTTCAACCTGTAGATGGCGCTGTAGTGTAGTGCAGGTGTTTACCTGTAGATGGCGCTGTAGTGTAGTGCAGGTGTTTACCCGTAGATGGCGCTGTAGTGTAGTGCAGGTGTTTACCCGTAGATGGCGCTGTAGTGTAGTGTACGTGTTTACCTGTAGATGGCGCTGTAGTGTAGTGCAGGTGTTTACCTGTAGATGGCGCTGTAGTGTAGTGCAGGTGTTTACCCGTAGATGGCGCTGTAGTGTAGTGTACGTGTTTACCTGTAGATGGCGCTGTAGTGTAGTGCAGGTGTTTACCCGTAGATGGCGCTGTAGTGTAGTGCAGGTGTTTACCCGTAGATGGCGCTGTAGTGTAGTGCAGGTGTTTACCTGTAGATGGCGCTGTAGTGTAGTGCAGGTGTTTACCTGTAGATGGCGCTGTAGTGTAGTGCAGGTGTTTACCCGTAGATGGCGCTGTAGTGTAGTGCAGGTGTTTACCTGTAGATGGCGCTGTAGTGTAGTGCAGGTGTTTACCTGTAGATGGCGCTGTAGTGTAGTGCAGGTGTTTACCTGTAGATGGCGCTGTAGTGTAGTGCAGGTGTTTACCTGTAGATGGCGCTGTAGTGTAGTGCAGGTGTTTACCCGTAGATGGCGCTGTACCTGGTAGAGCGCGGCGTCCAGCGTGTCCTCCGGGGGGCGCTGCAGGGCGTCGGCGGCGCGGAGTTTGTCGTCTCTGAGCGCGCTCAGTGCTGACGTCAGCGAGCTCAGGTGTTTCTGTTTGAGCTGCAGACGAAGCTCCGCCTCTTTAAGAGCGCGCACGTCGCTGCTGAGAGCGCGCACGTCGGGCCCCGCCCTCAGACCCTGCACGAGGCGGAGCACGCACCCCCGCTCCGACGACACCTGCCGACAGGTGAGGGACAACAGGAGAGGACACCTGTCAGTCTACAGCACCAGAGGAAACACTCGAGAGGAAACTGTGTGAGTGACTTTCAAAATAAAACTAAAAACAAGAAAAGAAAAAAAAACAACAGAACAAACAGGTTTGACCCCTGACCCTGTCGAGGTGTGACCCCTGACCCCTGACCCTGTGGAGGTGTGACCCCTGACCCTGTGGAGGTGTAACCCCTGACCCTGTGGAGGTGTGACCCCTGACCCTGTCGTACCTGCTCCTGCAGTCGTTCCTTCTGCTCCTGGAGCTCCTCCTCCTTCTGCTGCAGATGTTTGAGCTGTTGAACTTTGAACTCCGTCCACTGCAGTCGCGCCCACCTGACACAAGGAGGCGACACTTCAACCTTTTCACCCAAATCAACATCTGAACGTTAAGAACTGACCAATCAGACACCTTCTTTCCCCGAGGCCCCACCCATGAGCCTTAGCGGCAGGTTTGATTGACAGTTGTTACGCAGTCTCGCTCCTGATTGGTTCTTTTGTTGCCAACAGCCAACGAGCTCAGATTTATAAACATGGACCTGAGTCCAGAAGAACCACAGTGACGTCCCATCACAACGGAACAACCGACGGAACGACCGACGGAACGACCGACGGAACGACCGACGGAACGACCGACGACCAACGGAACGACCAACGAAACGACCAACGAAACGACCAACGAAACGACCAACGGAACGACCAACAGAACGACCAACAGAACGACCAACGGAACGACCAACGAAACGACCAACGGAACGACCATCACAACGGAACGACCATCACAACGGAACGACCAACGGAACGACCAACGAAACAACCAACGAAACGACCGACGGAACGACCGACGGAACGACCAACAAAACGACCGACGGAACGACCGACGGAACGAACCGACGGAACGACGACGAACGACGAACGAACGGAACGACCGACGGAACGACCGACGAAACGACCGACGGAAACGACCGACGGAACGACCGACGAACGAACGACCGGAACGACCGACGGAACGACGAACGACCAACGAAACGACCAACGGAACGACGAACGACCAACGAAACGACCAACGGAACGACAACGGAACGACGACCAACGAAACGACCAACGAACGACCAAACGAAACGACCAACAGAACGACACAACGGAACGACCAACGAAATGACCGACGGAACGACCGACGGAACGACCGACGGAACGACGACGGAACGACCGACGGAAACGACCGACGGAACGACGACGACCAACGAAACGACCAACGGAACGACCGACGACCAACGAAACGACCAACGGAACGACCCGACGGAACGACGACGACCAACGAAACGACCAACGGAACGACCAATGAAACGACCAACAGAACGACCAACAAAACAACCAACAGAACGACCATCACAACGGAACGACCATCACAACGGAACGACCATCACAACGGAACGACCGACGGAACGACCGACGAAACGACCGACGAAACGACCGACGAAACGACCGACGAAACGACCGACGGAAACGACCGACGGAACGACCGACGGAACGACCGCCGAAACGACCGACGAACGACCGACGGAACGACCGACGGAACGACCGACGGAACGACCGACGGAACGACCGCCGAAACGACCTACGGAACGACCGACGGAACGACCGACAGAACGACCGACGGAACGACCGACGGAACGACCAACGTAACGACCAATGAAACGATCAATGGAACGACCAACGAAACAACCGACAGAACGACCATCACGACAGAACGACCATCACAACGGAACGACCAACGGAACGACCAACGGAACGACCAACGAAACGACCAACGAAACGACCAACGGAACGACAACGAAACGACCAACGAAACGACCAACAAAACGACCGACGGAACGACCAACGAAACGACCGACGGAACGACCGACGAACGACCGACAAAACGAACCGACGGAACGACCGACGAACGAACGACGAAACGACCGACGGAACGACCGACGGAACGACCGACGGAACGACCGACGGAACGACCGACGAAATGACCAACGAAACAACCAACAGAACGACCAACGGAACGACCGACGAAACGACCAACGAAATGACCAACGAAACGACCGACGGAACGACCAACGAAATGACCAACGGAACGACCAACGATTTATAAACATGGACCTGAGTCCAGAAGAACCACAGTGACGTCCCATCACAACGGAACAACCGACGGAACGACCAACGGAACGACCAACGGAACGACCAACGAAACAACCATCACAACGAAACGACCAACGAAACAACCATCACAACAGAACGACCAACGGAACGACCAACGGAACGATCAACGGAACGACCAACGTAACGACCAACGGAATGACCAATGAAACAACCGACGGAATGACCAACGAAACGACCAACGGAACGACCGACGATTTATAAACATGGACCTGAGTCCAGAAGAACCACAGTGACGTCCCATCACAACGGAACGACCAACGGAACAACCAACGGAACGACCATCACAACGAAACGACCAACGAAACAACCATCACAACAGAACGACCAACGGAACGACCAACGGAACGACCATCACAACGAAACGACCAACGAAACAACCATCACAACAGAACGACCAACGGAACGATCAACGGAACGACCAACGGAACGACCAACGGAACAACCAACGAAACGACCGACGGAACGACCAACGAAACGACCAACGGAACGACCGACGATTTATAAACATGGACCTGAGTCCAGAAGAACCACAGTCACGTCCCATCACAACGGAACGACCAACGGAACAACCAACGGAACGACCCATGGAACGACCGACGAAACGACCGACGGAACGACTGACGGAACGACCGACAGAACGACTGACGGAACGACCGACAGAACGACCGACGGAACGACCGACGGAACGACCAACGGAACGACCAACGGAACGACCAACGAAACAACCATCACAACGAAACGACCAACGAAACAACCATCACAACAGAACGACCAACGGAACGACCAACGGAACGACCGAACGGAACGACGACGACGACGACGACGGACGGACGACCGACGGAACGACCGACGGAACGACCAACGAAACGACCAACGGAACGACCAACGATTTATAAACATGGACCTGAGTCCAGAAGAACCACAGTGACGTCCCATCACAACGGAACAACCAACGGAACGACCCATGGAACGACCGACGAAACGACCGACGGAACGACTGACGGAACGACCGACAGAACGACCGACGGAACGACCGACGGAACGACCAACGGAACGACCAACGGAACGACCAACGAAACAACCATCACAACGAAACGACCAACGAAACAACCATCACAACAGAACGACCAACGGAACGACCAACGGAACGACCGACGGAACGACCGACGGAACGACCGACGGAACGACCGACGGAACGACCAACGAAACGACCAACGGAACGACCAACGATTTATAAACATGGACCTGAGTCCAGAAGAACCACAGTGACGTCCCATCACAACGGAACAACCAACGGAACGACCCATGGAACGACCGACGAAACGACCAATGAAACGACCAACGAAACGACCAACGAAACGACCAACGAAACGACCAACGAAACGACCAACGAAACGACCAACGAAACGACCAACGGAACGACCAACGAAACAACCAACGGAACGACCAACGAAACAACCATCACAACAGAACGACCAACGGAACGACCAACGGAATGACCAACGAAATGACCCACGGAACGACCGACGGAACGACCAACAGAACGACCAACGAAACGACCAACACAACGGAACAACCATCACAACGGAACGACCATAACAACGAAACGACCAACGGAACGACCAACGAAACGACCAACGAAACGACCAACGGAACGACCATCACAACGGAACGACCAACGGAACGACCAATCACGATGGAACGACCATCACAACAGAACGACCATCACAATGTCGTCCCTGTCGCCCCTGTCAACCCTGACGTCCCTGTCGCTGTGATCTGAACACAGCAGCAGTCTGAGAGATCAGGACTCACTGTGTGATCTGCTCTGAGCTCTGTCTCTCCTCGTGCTCCTCAGACCCCGGTCCCGGTCTGGACCCCGGTCCGGTCTCTGGTCCCGGTCCGGTCTCTGGTCCCGGTCCGGTCTCTGGTCCCGGTCCGGTCTCTGGTCCGGTCTCTTTGGCCTGGAGCAGGTTCTGTCTGATCTCAGTCAGAGTCCTGTGGTCGTCCTCCACACGCCGCAGATCTCTGAGCAGCTCCTGAGAAAGAACAAAACCATCACTGAAGAAATACTTCACAACAACAACACGACTACTGCTACTGCTACTGCTACTGCTACTGCTACTGCTACTGCTACTACTACGCTACTGCTACTGCAGTAACTGTACTTTAGTACTGTTAGTACTGCTACCGCCTCGTCGCGTCGCTCTCGGAGCTGCTCCTCTAGTCTCCTCACTGCACAGAGCTGCTCCTCCTCCTGCTCCTTCAGCCTGTGAGTCTCTGAGGTGAGACGATCCCTCTGCTCCACCCTGAGCCTCTGCAGACGCTGCAGCTCCGACAGCAGCTCCTGCTCCTCCAGCGACACCTCCAGAGGAACCTCCACAGGAGCATCCAGAGGAACCTCCAGAGGAACCTCCACAGGAGCATCCAGAGGAACCTCCACAGGAGCATCCAGAGGAACCTCCATTGGAACCTCCAGAGAAACCTCCATTGGAACCTCCAGAGGAACCTCCAGAGGAACCTCAAGGGGCTCCTCCAGGGACACCTCCACAGCGTCCTCAGGCTCCACAGGCTCCTGAGAGACAGGGGGACCTCCGTGGATCATTATGTAATAATGTGGAACATTTTAAATCACAATATTGATCCAAAAAAAATAAAAGAAACAAATGAAACAAGGGGAGACGGACAAAATGGAGTCTGGAAAATAAGAGATTAAAGATTCTCAAACACAAATCACTCCAAATAAAAGGTAAGAGACAAGAAACGACTAGAACCTGGAGAAACATCTGAGGAGAGCAGTTTGGAGAAACATTGGTTTAAGACTCGTGTGAGGGGAGAGTCTCTTACCTGTGTTGGGCTCCTCTGCTCCCTCAGGTCCCAGGGCCCCTGCTGGGTCTGCGTCTGCGCCCCCTGCTGCGTCTGCGTCTGCGCCCCCTGCTGGAGGTCTGCGGCGTCGCTCTCCTCCTTGACCTTCTGCTGCTCGAGCACTTGGCGCAGTCGGCTCTCGATGTCCTGGCTGCGCAGACGCAGACTCTCCTCCTGCAGACGCATGCGCCGCTGCACCTCCTCAGACTCCCTGCGCTGACTCTCCACCTCCTGCTGGAGGCGCTGCAGCTCACGCCGCTCCTCCTGCTGCTTCTGCTCCATCTCCACGATCAGACGCCTGCAGAAGAACAGACCTACGGCTCAGGGACCGGACCTTCATGAACAGTAGGACCATCTCCAGACCTCGAGCGAGTCTGGGTCAGGTGGATTTTAGAACATGTAAACTTCACACAGAAAGGCCCGGGACTTGAACCAGGAACCTTCTTGAGGTGTCAGAGTTAAACTGACCTCTTCATCTCCAGTTTGTCCAACTCCTCCCTCTGCAGCCGCTCGAACTCCAACCTGAAACACACAACAAGCTGAGAACCAGAAGAACAGAACCAGAAGAACCAGAGGAACAGAACCAGAAGAACCAGAAGAACAGAGAACCAGAAGAACCAGAGGAACAGAACCAGAAGAACCAGAAGAACAGAACAGAACCAGAAGAACCAGAGGAACAGAACCAGAAGAACCAGAAGAACAGAACCAGAAGAACCAGAGGAACAGAACCAGAAGAACCAGAGGAACAGAACCAGAAGAAAGAACCAGAAGAACAGAACCAGAAGAACCAGAGGAACAGAACCAGAAGAACCAGAAGAACAGAACCAGAAGAACCAGAGGAACAGAACCAGAGGAGTAGTAGTATTTGCATTTGCATTTGCACTTGTACTTGTACCTGCACTTGTACTTGTACTTGTACCTGTACCTGTACTTGTACTTGTACTTGCACTTGTACTTGTACCTGTACTTGTACTTGCACCTGTACCTGTACTTGCACCTGTACTTGTACTTGTACTTGCACCTGTACTTGTACTTGTACTTGCACCTGTACCTGTACTTGTACTTGTACTTGTACCTGTACTTGTACTTGTACTT